GATATATCATAACTATATGTTTATATTAAGTGCAAATCCGTACAATTGTAATGTTCAGTATATATGGGTGTTCTCAATGAGTGTCACGTAGCTACAATTTCCTATATAGAAAACAGATTACAAGATGCACTCTATATTTGGATGAGAACAGCAAAGGAAATTGTTGCTCTCTTGTGAAGTAATTGATTTATCGTTTACACTCAGTACGTTAAATATCAGGGGGTTAACATGACGACTTATGAAATATTAAAGATCAATTGTATTTTAGTAAGTCACTCTCTGTCAGTTACTATACATGTAAATAAATCAAAGAATATAAAGGAGAAGGAGAATAATCAATGGATTTAATTTTAGCGATTTAATCTTGTAGAGTTTTACGGTCTGTTTTAAATACGTCTATTCTGTGCCATGGTATTACCAAGTAAAATTATCGACATAACACACAATAACACAAGTGCCAAGTACAAGATTATACAAATGGTTACATGACTAGAAGAGTGAACATATTATATAAGATTTATTGAATATGCAATATGAACGAAGGAATATATGTTTTTTTGATTATTAATAACCATAAAAATTGCGTTTACAGGACACACACTATTATTCAATAAATGTAAAATCATAAACCCTAATACGCATGCGCAGTGATAATATATGAACCAATTCAACATGTGTATTAGAGAATGTCATTTGTTTCATTGAACGACAACAAGGAGCCTTCAAGAACAGCGCTTTACTGTCTTTATAAATCATCTATGTATTCAACAACAAGCTTTATCAACATAACGAGTCAAACAACAATGTTAAAAATGGCATATTTCGTTCTTATTGCGTCTTTCAACGAGGGTAATTTTCATTTTTGAGAGTATATCTATTTAACCTCGACGTTTAAACGTCACATATATCATCGGAATCACAATTTATTAATTCTGACATTTTCATACAGAAACCGTGTTGCTTGAGATGTTCTAACAGTTTACATTTAATAAATAGTCTATGTTTAGGCGGTAGCTACAGATCCTTGGTTTCAGGGAAACATGTATATTCTTATTTCTGTGAGTTTATTACACATTCTTAGTTGTTTGCATGTACATTGAATTCATTTTCAACATCTATTCAATTTTCCGATGCAATAGCAGGACAACCGAGGTCACCTGTACATAGATTAAATACCCCTTCTATTAGTTGTGTTTCAGGTCCCATATCTCGCTTCCGCCATCCAATATTGCAACAATTTGCAGCAGACCATTGCTTGAAAGCTTCATATGTCTGCTAAGTGTTGTTAACTGTTCGATAATGTTAGACCGAAGTAGATGTGTGTGTTGTACGGAACCACTCCAATTTGTTCACCACTTTAGTGCCGCTTTTCTTTGTCATCAAATTACAATGAGTGTTAGCCGTACAGATTAAGTCTTTATAATATACGTTTTAATGTTTAGACAGTATAATTACATTGTTTCAGGTTTCATAAAAGTATAGCGGTGAATATGTCCTTATTTACAGAGTGGGGCAATGCTAGAATGGTTGGTTTCTCGTTAATAAGTTCTGAGTAAAGAAGTTACAAGATGACGATAAATTGGGCGCTTAATTTTCACAGTAGAACAGGATGGCATATTTTAAAATAAGGCGGAACAACAAGGCCATTGAAAGTGTATTGCCTTGTACTCATTGTTGCGAGCATGGTGTTTGGTACTGGTGTATAGTAGTTTGTATCCACCGCTTCAGCAATTTCTCGTAAAGTACTCTTTGTTCATTGGCATTTATTAGGAAAGTACTTTTTCTTTGTATTAAATGGTCTGCGTTTACTATTTTTTTTTGTCGTTTTTAAGCAGACTGTTTTTCAAAACTAGTTTGTTCTCACAAGTTATAAGTACAACGTTCCAGATCGAAGAACATTGTAGTTGCATGGTCACGTGGTTGCATGGTCATGTGGTTGCATGTATAATGATGAAATAAAATATACATTTGTGCTATGTACAGGTCATTAAATCATTGTCCTTGTATGCAAATAAGTTACGTACCACTTATGCTGCGACAATACACAATCCGCGATAGAGCTACAAAAAAAAAAACTCGCCAATTTTGCGGTATAACTTCATTAGAGTACTTCTACTCTGCCGCAATCGTTAATAAATAGGCAGTTCTGGGTCTCGGTCATGCTAGATTGTTCGGCGTTGCGCGCCTTTGACTCTTACCAGACCTCGGTCCAAAAACAGTCTGCACATTACCGATAGTAGTCGTAGTCTATCTATCAGCAAGCCCTGACACTAACAGTACTCCATCCCGGTACTCCACATAATGTTATTTTAAAATTGTGATTAAAATTGGCAATAGTAAACGCTGAAATAAATACAACAGGTCATTTGGGGTCACGTGTGTGGTCAGTTACGCCCGGAATAAAAAGCTGAAAAAAATATGACTTCTGCTTACATCACTGTTATGATGAAATCAACACAATGTTACGTGCAGTGTGGACACTATGGCAACCTAAACATGATTGTACTAAAATTAAACTGAAAACCTGATATACTATACATATACAACAAAATAAAATTATGTATAATATTAGTTAGACCAAACTATTCTATGCTGTATTAGCTCTATAATTGCATATATTTACTCTTTATTTCAGGTTTTGTCCCAGCGTACTGTTTTATCTTGGTAGTGTCGTTCCAAGTCTTTGGATACTTCAAATTGAACTTCACAAGGAGAGAGAAGTGTGGATGAGAGAGGCAGAACTGGCAGCCATTTCAAGAGGCAATTGCACTGCTTTCAGCTCAGACGCGGAGGATCATTCAGCAGAAAGTTTGTCTGAAATATTTAAAGGAGTAAGTTGCATTGTATTAATTTAACGTAATCTGTAGTCTGTAACGTAAAACCGTCTCTGTGTAGATTATTCATCAATTCGGGGATTCACGAAACAGAATATTACAAACAATTGTTGAACACTACATTATTTTGCTATTTCCGAATTGGCTGCAAGAGAAATACGCTTATGAGTTTCATGAGATCAAAACAACTCGAATTTGAAAATTCTTGTGATAAATAATATGTCGATCAGACATAATTAGGGGTTTTAATGCGCATTACTTAATTCATCTCTCAGGTGAGAATCAAACTATGTGAAGTCCTTCTTTTTTCAAAAATTATATTAAAATTGTATTTACTGATCACATATGTACGACTTTTGTACTTCGGCAGTCCGAGGAACATTTTATTTGCCGTACATTATGTAATTTCACACAGAATACATTATGCAATTTCACACAGATAACAACTAAATTCTGTCAAGTTTGCAATTTAATTTCATAATTCAATTAGTTAAAGCGCGGAGTCGTCGCGCCACGCATGGTCGAGATGTATGGGTCTCATATAAACAAAGATGGCGACTTTGACTGTTGCGAAGATCAGCGAGTACAATATCAGGGGTAAAATCTCTTCTTTCGGGTTCTCCACACTTGCCAGGGGGGGAACTCGTCTCGTCTCTATATCGTCCCCTTGAGGTACGGGATCGGGAAAGTCACTTATACTTTACAGTCAAATAAGACACACACAACGAAATACGTTTCAACTCTCGTCTTAGTCGATCTTTTGGAGCACTCTATAAGACACAGCGCCCTGGGGAAAAGTCCCCAAGACTATATCGCAAGGCTGACCCAAGACTCTCTTAGACTGCGTCAAGGCTCGCCCCAAGTCTCTCCAGGACTGCGTCTGTCGTGGAGTATTCGCCAAGACCAACTCAAACTCTCTTTATTCATTTTCAAAACTCTAACCAATTACAAAGCAGTAAAACGACTCTAAGGCGTAACCTTCAATCATAAAGCCAATCAAACTAAGTACTGAATACGTCATATCTTTTGATTAATCGTTCACTACATTAATAACTACGGATGTCAGAATAGCGACGGTATCTTGTAATTAGTTCCAAACCACTGAGCCAAGTTCCGTTCAAAACTTCAAATAGACCTAAACGATGACAGACATAACACAGCAATTCAGCTAATAATCAGCTAATTAAGTCGGTTAACAGATACGCGAAAACAAATTCATGACAACAAACTGAGACGATTCCAAGCTTTCATTAGGTAATTTTAGGTGATTGGAAGGTATCGAAGGAGTCACCGCCGGTAATCAGTGCAAGTCACGCCCAGGTCAAACCTCATACTTGTGATTTCCATTTGAAGAGCACATTAGATTGTGGGAAAATCAATGTTTATCAACACAAATGTCGCATATGCGCAGTGCGACCGCGCTTTAAGTACACGGTGCATAACGATACACGTGGCTGAGTTTACCATACAACTATATAAAATATCTTGTTGAAATTTATTTAAATAAGGCCAATTAATTTATTCAGTTGTTTGATAGATGCGTGTCTTCTAGAATATGTGATTGGCTGGAACGGTCTAACACAAATCTGGGGTAGCTGTTTGCGGGAACGGGTTAGTGTCATATAACAATTTAGTGTTTATGTATTGTTTAGCTAAAGTTAACTCTCGTTATTTTCAGGTAACAATTCCTGGGTTTGCGTTTTCTAGTGAAAATTGGGTGCTAGCGCTGCAGCAGCTTCTTCTTGGGCTCCTAATTCTGGGAAGATGGATGCTACCAAAAGGGGAGATCACGCGTGACCAACTCTCCCAACTGCTTCTTGTTTACATCGGCATGGCAGCAGACATATTGGAATTTTCAGTGGAAACACTCAAAGAAGACGCTTTACAGGGACAATGGGTGTTAACTTACCTTATATTAGCAATCTGGTCTTGGAGCTTACTCCAATTTTGCCTCGTACTGACCGCGACCAAATCGCGTAAGCCACGCATGGCGCGCGCCTCGTCAGAATCAACATTCCTTCCTTTTGTGACGCGGTGTGAGGGCGGTTGTCGACTATGGTGTGAGTCTGAAGTGTGGGCAATCATGGCTAGTATAGTAATGCAAGACGGACCATTTCTCGCAATGAGGATGTTTTTATTAATTCGCTATGACGTAGTCAATCACATGATGATATTTTTTACTTGTAAAAACTCCCTCGTTCTGGTACTCCAGGTATATAGACTTGTTGTGTTATATATAGAGAAGCACCCCGATCGTCATAGCAACTCGTCTCGTCGTTATAGTGATGATTTGACACAAGTCGGAGACAAAAGCGCGGATGTGCCGTTCATCGTTTCACATGGGCGTGACAGCGATATAGGGAACTTAGGTAACTTTTCTGGTTTCCATACGAATTACGAAAGAGAGCCAGTGATCGAATATCAGACCTCTCTCTGATAAATCGAAAGTTTATGTTTTACTTTCTAAGTTTGTTGATGTTATTTGTTTTAGTGTGTAGTATTCTTACCCCAAATCTGTTATCATGTATATTACCTAATGTATGAACACGTGTGACACTTGTCACTTTTCACCAGTTTTAGTTCGCAATCATGGTCAGACAATGACATTGAACAATAGTTTTAATTCATTGACATTGGACACTGGTTGTTATGCACAGCCATGATCAGACATTGACACCAAGTTCACAGTCATGGTCAGTCGAAGATCCCTTCTTTTTCGTATGCATAGCTTGTTGATTACCTGATTACGTCGCAGAGACGTCACTTTGCCTCATATTTTGTTATGTTGCAATGCTACTAGAGAGAGTATGACTAATTTATGATTGTATCGGATGTGTATATAATTAAATGTTTGGGCATTTTTTGTTTTTTGTTTACTGGATTAGTTGGTATCACGTGAGACTTTTATGATTGTATCGGATGTGTATATAATTAAATGTCTGAACATTTTTGTTATTGTTTACTGGATTTTTTGGCATCGTGAGAGTTGTATACGAATTAATTTTCTTTTATTTTCATTATACCTAACGACCCCACCCAACCTCGCAAAGCACTTAATAAGACTTCCCTGAGTAAATTGAATAATTGAAACATGCAAAGTTTTATTCTCAAGAATTCGCATGTAAATTACATAATGTAACCAGTCAATAGACGACTGGCTACATACTAACAAAAAGAAACAAACGTTAGCATGCCCCTTTAAGTGATAACACCGCATTACCTTTATTTCTTCGATCACTAGGTTCCCTGGGAGTTCTGAGTATTCACGACAACGTCATATTTAATGCATGTTCACAACATGCTCAAATATGAGAGTGAACTTTGTTGGTTTTACTCACGTGACCAACTTGAATTATTTGTGATTACTAGTTATGCAATGTTACCGCAATGCTAATGACGTTGTCTATGTAATTTACAATTTGAATATTTACGTGTGTACGTGTGTTTTATTCGGCGGGAATTAGCGAAAATAAAACCTGGTAGCATGTCCAACTAACTTGCTCAATAACTCACGACAAACCGCTTTGGTTTTGACCAGATGAACGGTGATCAAATAATTTCAATATCTGAATAACATTATTTTAAGTAAGTTTATAAGGTTTTACAGACTTAATTGTCAAAACAAAAGTTGTCAGCGAATTAATGGATTGCTTACTTGCTGTCCAATTACTTCTAAGACTTGCTGTAATGGACCTTAGCAAGACGCAATGGGGTAGAAAATCAGAACAGTGAAAACAACAAATAAACGAATATCACAGGAGGGCATTGTTCCATAATTTGATCGATTTACGTTTCTGATGCAAGTAATGAACAAGTAGACATTCTAACACAGAAAATAAGTCAATGGGAAAACCTGCACCAATCCATAGTCATATACATTCCAAATAAACGTGTCGGACAGATGTTGGATATCGTAATTCGCTTTGCTATATTTTAGGATTCGGGGATCTTCGTCGCTGGTAGACAGATGTTAGTTTGACGTCACATATTGATAAATCGATGAATAATGATATGTTATTTTTACTAATGTATTGGATATAATAAATATTATATTATACCAGTATTTCAATTGACCCGGGAAAATTAAAACCAACGTTCTCTTGCTTTTTGTTATTATTTTTCTTCACAAATCAATAAATCTCATAATTCTGAATAATTCTGGACAGTTTGTGTATAATTTGGAGTAATTTGTTATGTTTAGTTTAAATTTTCTTTGCTTGCGCATCTTTTCCGACCGAATTGTCATCTTTTTGACGCAGACACAGTGACGCTAACTTAGGGGGTATTACAATCAGCTGTCCTAACAGCCATATCACGGAGCTCAACTCAACTGTCGTACTTTTAAAAATCAATTGTATAGCATATCCGTCGCCGATTGAAATGGTATTAGTGCATCGAAACTGTTCGGCGAAGCTGCT